TTTTGATAAGGATTGGGTTGAACCTATTTGGGGGAATATTGCCATTTTAGCAGTCCTAAGTCTTCCAATCCATGAACATGGGATGTCTTTTCACTTATTTAGGTCTTCTTTAATTTCTTCCAGCCACCGCCTTGTTGCTTTCATAGTATAAGTTTTGCATTTCTTAGTAAATGTATCTCTAAGTATTTTATTCTTTTTGATATGTTGCAAATGGAATTGGTTTCTTGATTTCATTTTTCTTGTTTATTACCATTGCTTAGGAAATACAGTGGATTTAGTGTATTGATCATGTATGCTGTAGCCTTGTTGAACTTGTTTACTAATTTTAATAGTTTTTTTTTAAAGTGGATTCCTTAGGATTTTCTATCTACAAAATGATGTGCAAATAGAGATTGTTTTAATTCTTCTGGATTAAATTGTTCTGGACACCCATCTGGATGCCTGTCCTCTTGCCTAACTATCTGGCTATAACCTCTGGTACAATGCTGAATAGGACTTGTGAGCAGGGACGTCACTGTCTCATTCTTGATCTTAGAGGGATTAGAGGAACATCATTCAGTCTTTCATTATTAAGTATGATGTTGCTGGTTGATGTCCTTTATCAGGTCAAGGAAGTATCCTCTATGCCTAGTTTGCTGAGTATTTTATCATGAAGGGATGTTGAATTTTAAATGTCACAGCCAGGATTTGAAGCCATGTCTCTCTGACTCCGGAGTCCTAATGATTACCTGATAAACTAACTCAAGGGGACCCCCAAGGAAGCCCCACATTGAATGCAGAAAAGAGCAAGCTGTCAGCCAATGAGGTGTTTCCATCTGCCCCTTTTCTCTTTGGCATTTGAAGTGAACTTGCGTAGAGACAGAAAGGGAAATGTTTAACTTGAAGGAATGTACAAAGACAGTGGACTCTGGCATAGGGCAGAGTTGTGGGGGAGATGTTTTCAAAGTGGCTTTCAAGAATTCAAGGCTGGTCAACTCCAGAAAAATAAATGACCCAATCAAAAAATGGGCCAAAGAACTGAACAGACATTTCTCCAAGGAAGACATACAGATGGCTAACAAACACATGAAAAGATGCTCAACATCACTCATTATCAGAGAAATGCAAATCAAAACCACAATGAGGTACCATTACACACCAGTCAGGATGGCTGCTATCCAAAAGTCTACAAGCAATAAATGCTGGAGAGGGTGTGGAGAAAAGGGAACCCTCTTACACTGTTGGTGGGAATGCAAATTAGTACAGCCACTATGGAAAACAGTGTGGAGATTTCTTAAAAAGCTGGAAATAGAACTGCCATATGACCCAGCAATCCCACTTCTGGGCATACACACCGAGGAAACCAGATCTGAAAGAGACACGTGTACCCCAATGTTCATCGCAGCACTGTTTGTAATAGCCAGGACATGGAAGCAACCTAGATGCCCATCAGCAGATGAATGGATGAGGAAGCTGTGGTACATATACACCATGGAATATTACTCAGCCATTAAAAAGAATTCATTTGAATCAGTTCTAATGAGATGGATGAAACTGGAGCCCATTATACAGAGCGAAGTAAGCCTGAAAGATAAAGACCATTACAGTATACTAACACATATATATGGAATTTAGAAAGATGGTAACGATAACCCTATGTGCAAAACAGAAAAAGAGACTCCTATGTATGGAACAGACTTGTGGACTCTGGGAGAAGGCGAGGGTGGGATGTTTCAAGAGAACAGCATTGAAACATGTATATTATCTAAGGTGAAACAGTTCACCAGCCCAGGTTGGGTGCATGAGACAAGTGCTCAGGCCTGGTGCACTGGGAAGACCCAGAGGGATTGGGTGGAGAGGGAGGTGGGAGGGGGGACCGGGATGGGGAATACATGTAAAAAAAAAAAAAAAAAGATACACTATGGTTGTGATAAAAATAAATAAATAAATTAATTAATTAATTAAAAAAAAAAAGAATTCAAGGCTGGGTTCTGTGAACTTGGCAGGAGGAGTCCTGTACATGCAGTGATGGGCAGTTGATGGTTCCTCTGGAGTTGTCGCAATAAAAACAAAACAAAGCTGATTATCATGTTCTGGGAGATGCTGGATTGGAGATTGTGTTGGCAGAGAGGGAGGGGGAGGGAAAAATGGAGAAAGCCCACCACTCCCCTGCACAAGGTGGCAATGCTCAATGACTGAACAATTCACCCCACAAACCATGAGTCACCTCCACAGCTTGCCAGTCCCTGTGGTTGGCAGACACAAGAGACTCAGAACCTACCATGCCCCACCTCCCGATTCTAGTATTTTCCACCTTGTGGAGCTTTGAGGCTTAAACCATGCCCCAAGGGAGAATATTCTCTCCTATTTTCTCTTCAAGCTTTGGCTTGCAGAAGTCTTGGTTACTGGATCTTTAATGCCCTCTGACACTTGTCTATATTCCAGGGCTGGCAATAATATCAGACTAGAATGTTCTGTTCCCCTTGTATGGATTTTTATGATCACCTGGCTAGTCATCCTGGCTTTCCCATTTACAGTAGTCACATTTATCAAGCAATCCCTTCTAGAATCTAGATGAAGTAACTCATCTCACCCTCCCAAAACCCAAGGAGATAAGAGACTCTTACTATCCTGCATTGGCAGATGGGCAAACTGAGGCACAGATAAAGTGGGGAGACAGAAAACAAACAAACTGCCCCCAAATAGTAATCACTCCAAATCATAATAAATAATCTGGTACCAAGATGAAGATAAGCTTTGGCAGGATGGTCAGGGAGGGTCTCTCAGAGTTTTGAAGGATGAGGAGCCAGCCTTGGGAACAGCATTCTAGGAAAAGGGAACAGCCAGCACAAAGGCCCTGAGGCTGGACTGTGCCTGATCTTTGCAAGGAACAGTGAGGTGGCTGGCACAGGTGGACTGGAGTGAGCAAGGGTGGGGGGAGCAGATGGAGGAGGTGAGAGCAGGGAGGTGATGGTGGGTAGGCAGTGGAGTACCTTGTGGGCTGCAAGGAAGGCTTGTGTTTTTACTCCAAGCGAGACATTGTCTATTTCCTCCCCTGGAATCAACTCCTAGAGGACAGGAATTTTTTAGCCTGTTTTGTTTCTTTCTGTGCCCCAGCCCTAGAAACAGCCTGTCACACAGATTGATGGCTTGAATGGTTTGGTGTCCTGAGCACACACTGTACCATGTTTTGCAACTGTTTTCCTTGCCTGCTCACAAGAACTATCAGAAGTAGATGAGGTTGTACCCTTTCTGAAGATGGTAGCAGTGAGGCTCAGAGGGGCTTTTTCAAAGTCCTTCACCTAATAGGTGGCAGGGCTAAGTGTGGCTCATGCCATGTCCAGCCCCTCTAGAGCCAGAAGTCTACCTTGATTGAGTATACAGGGGTTGAGCACCTATTGTGTATTTCAGATCAGCTAAGCATTTGTGCACAGACCATCCCATTTGATTCTTCAAGATGCAGTTGTGTCTCCATTGCTTGGATGAGAAAACCAAGGTCAGATTGTCAATGGCTAGGTCAGGGTCACACTGCCAGGAAGGAAGACAAATAAGTTCTGCAAACCTGCGCTGGCCGCTGGGAAACTCCAGGCTTAATTTAGGTTCCTTGTTTAATTATTCATCCTCTCCTCTCTTGTCTCCTATTTATGACTTCCGCCTTCTTGTTTTGTTCCCTGGGTTAATGCCTTTTGTTTATATCTGCATCTTTGGCCAGGAATGAATGAATCAATGATTTGGGAGGAAAAACCCCCCAAGTTCTAAACTTGAGTCCTTTTATGGGCATGAGGACCTCTTCAAACACATACCTTGATGAAATAAAATGCTTCCAACGGGTTCAAAACACAGTCATTTGATGTGCAATCTTGTTTGGCGTCTTTGAGCCCTCCAGCCCTCCATGGTAATCTTTCCCTTTTTTCTTTCTGTCTTATTTCCCTCACTGCTCCATTTTCAAGTGCCAACTATGGGCCCGGTGGGCACCCTATCACACTTCATCCTTACACTCTCTTGTGAGCAACGGCCACCTTGCTCCATTTCACAGATGGGAAACTGAGACTCAGGAAGGCGGGGCAAACACATTTTGCAGGTGGAAAAGCTGAGATAGGGCCCCACACAGCAAGCCAGTGTTTTAGCTGGGGTTCCTACTGTGGTTTGCCCTGCCTCAAGGGCAGCAGGTGATGATAATTAGGTGAGAGGTTTGGGAAGTGCTTACTCTGCAGGAAATGTTCCCTCATTCATGCAATCAATAAGTTAGGATCTCCAGGCCCCACGGAGGCACACCCTAGCATGATCAGAATAAAATCAGTATGATGGCATAGATAATGGAGCTTAATGTGGCTGATGGCCATGGTCAAGGAGGGCTTCAACCAGGTGCTGCCGGTTGAACAGAGACGGGAGAGAAGAAATGGGGAAGATGTTGTGCTAAGTCGCTTCAGTCCTGTCCAACGCTTTGCCACCCTATGGAGTGTAGCCCACCAGACTCCTTTATCCAAGGGATTCTCCAGGCAAGAATACTGGAGTGGATTGCCATGTCCTCCTCCAGGGAATTTTCGCAACCCAGGGATGTAACCCTCATCTGTTTACATTCCTGCATTGGCAGGCGGCTTTTTTTTTTTTTTATAATTAGTGCCATCTTGGAAGCCCCAGAAAGATCCCGGGGCGGGGGGTGGGGTAGGGGCGGGGTGTGCCGCGGGGAAGACTACGCCAGGTGAAGGAACAGCAGGAGCAAGATCTTGTTAGGAGTAGACTGGAAGAACTGTAAGATTCTGGTTTGGCTTAAGCATGGACACCTGGAATAGGGTGGTGGGTGCCAGTGAGAAGTGAGTCTCACAGAAGGGGTTGGATTTTATACAGAGGCTCTGGGAAGCCAGGGCAGAGTCTAGATCAGGGGATGGCAAGCACCATGACCTTTGTGCCAAATGCCCTGGGGCTAACGGGGGGACCAGCGGCCAGAGGGGTCCCTGGTGCTGACGCCGCCGCCCACGTGTCCCTCGAAGCCCCACACCCCCACGTGCTCCTACAGCCCTTTAAAACGCCCCGGGCCACGTGCCCCCACCAAGCCGCCTCATTGGCCGAGGGGCGTGGTGGCTGCGCGGCTGCGCAGTGACGCGCCATAGCGGGCCCCGCCCCCGGCCGGCGGCGGCGGCGGCGGCGGTGGCGGAAGGGATGACGTCACCGGCTGGGGGGGCGCGCGAGCCGGCGCGAGGGGAGCGCGAGCCGCAGTGAGTGTCCTCGCGCCGCCCGCCCGGCAGCCCGGCCGGCGCGCGCACGCCGCGAGCCGCTGGCGCTCGGGCTCCGCTCGAATCCCATGCAACAGCCAGGATGTGAAGCGGGGCAGAGCCGGGGGAGCCCAGCTCAGCCAGCCTCCAGGTAAAGAGGGAAAAATAATCATGAATTCGATTCAAAGAAATGCTGGCGCTCCAGTGGGGGACTTGGAGACGGCGGAGTGGGCAGCGCGCCGGCTTTGTGCCGGGGAAGCCTGTACGGCCATTGTGCTCGGAGGATGCTCCGCTGCAGCCGGCTGCACGCCCAGCCGCTGCGCCGGGCAGGCTGCGTCCGAACAATGCCCCTAAGGGGCTGGGCCGGGGCGGGAAGGGGCTGCGGGGGAGGGAGCTCGGCGGGCGGGGCTGGGGGCTTCGCGGCGGGGAGGGGGCTGGGCTGGACTCGCCCGGAGCGCGGCGTTGGAAGCTGCCCAGCGCCGCCGGCTGCACCACCCCGGGCTGCGGGCGGGGCAAAGGCGCGGAGGGAGGACGCGCGTGTGTGCGGAGGGGGTGCTGGCTCCGGCGGCGCCCAGCCAGGCTCCCCGGCCGGGTCCCGGAGGCAGGGGGCGCTGTGCTGGGGATTGGGGCGCGCGGGCGCCCCGGAGTGGAGACTAGCCCGGGACAGGTGCCTCCAGGTGAGAGCGAGGGGGGCACCGACTGGACGGTGCGCCCAGGGCGGCTGCTGTGCCCGCCGCCTTCGCTCTTTAATCCCCCTCCCCTAGAGACCCCCCTACTCAATGCTGTCTCCCCCTAGCGCCCTCTCGGTCTCATCTATTCTTTGGTGGGGGGTGGCCCTCCGCTACCTCGTCTTGCCCCACCCTTTTGCGGACCCAGCGCCCCCTCTCAGATCCCCCAAGTGGGGCAAGACTCAGCTCCCAGTCCCAGGGACCCGGGCGGGCGGGCGCGCGTGCTGGGCGCCCGACCTCCCCTAGGAGCTGGGGGCCCCGTGGGGATCCCTGGAGAGGGGAAGCCGCCCCTTCAGCTGCCAGCCTCGCGGGTTCTGCACGCCCTGGGAGCCCCCTTGGGGACTGGGAGGAAGGGTAGTGACGTCATCCCTGGGGGCGGAGTCGTCGGAACCAGGTTGAAGGGGCGCGGGGCGCCCCTTACCCAGAGGGAAGCCCTCCCCCGCCCCGAGTTAGAGCGCCGGTACTCTGGACGCGAGGGTTTCGACCGAGTTACGGCCAAGTTCACCGCTCCATATGGAAACACTGCCACATTTAGGATTCCACCTGTCCACAAATCCTGGATGCTTACCCCCACGAAACTCCCCGTAAATCAGAGAACCCCCCCTCAACTGCTTTCTCTCTGAAATTCTCAAATCAGAGAATCCCAACCCCAAGTGTAATATATATATATATATATATATATATATATTTTTTGTCAGCCACCCCCCCGCAAATCTGGAATCTCCTCTTATGTGATCCTTCCCCCGATTTCAGACCTTCCTCTAGTAGCTCCGTAAATATGCAGCTTTTCAGAATGTCCTTTCCTCTGCAGTCTTTCCTCAAATTTAGCCACCCCCTTGGGTCCTCATCCCCCAAACGTACGAACCTCCCCAGCGCTTCCATCTGGGGGGTGGTGCCTCCCTTTCCCTTCTCGGGCTCAGCTGGGATTCCCCTGTTCCCCCCATCTCCATCTGCGGGAGTCCTCATTCCGAGCGTGGGGCCCTTCTGTCTCCCGCCAGACCCCTGAAAAACCAGCCTGGCCAACAGCTCGTGAATTGGGGAGGGAGGTGTCTGAGGCATCCAGGCTGGGCATTAGGACTCTGAGAAGCAGGGACAAAACTGAAGGGTCCTCGAGGGTGTTGAGGTCGGGGTCCCACCCGCTCTGGGCCCCCGGTGGTCTCCCCCTCTGGACTTTGGCGGTTGGGGTTCTGGCCTTCCATCAGTGTTCCCCACTGTTGCTGTTTCGAGGTGTGGGGCGAGGGTCCCTTTTGTTTGGGGTGCCCTGCTTCCCCCTCTTCCACGCGTGAGGAGAGCCAGCCAGCCCGTGCCTCTACCCCTGCCGATAGCAGCAGCTGCTGCTGGAGCTTTTATTAATGGCCAAGGGACTGGGTCGATTCTGCCATTTGCATAACGCCCCTCCCCCACCCAGGGTCCCCTTCCTTTGTGCCCCCTCCCCCTGCCAATCTCGCCTGCCTTCTGTCCCTCAGCTCTCTTCTTCCTCTGCCAGCTGATACTTTGGCTACGGAAGGAAGGCAGCTGGGGCTGGGGGCGGCTGCTTTCCGCCCCCGGTCAACCCCAGAGCCCACCAACTTGGGCCTGGGTCTCCGGCTGGATCCCCACCCCCACTCCCCCGCAATGCCCTCCGAGGGGGCATCTCCGGATGCCTGCTGTCCTGTCTCCCTTCCTCCCCCCACTTCAGAAGGCTTCATCTTGCCCCGTTGCCTGGGCCTGGGGGACACCTTCAACGTGACGGTGCACTTCTGCGTGGGGCCCTGGTCCCCCCAGCCCCCTGGGGGCAGCCACCCGCGATTGTCCTGAGAGTTGGTATAATTGGGCTCAGGCAAACAAAACGTCGAGGGAGACCCAGCCTGCTTGGTGAGCTCATGTGCTTTTCTATTCCTGCCACCCAGTCGATGACATCGGCCCCCCAGGGGGTGAAGAGGGCTGGTGCTGTCCTGTCACTACCCTTCCCGCCAGGAGAGGCCAGGCCTGGCCCACTCCCCATTCTCTGCGGGGAGTCGGGGGCGGGGGAGGGGAGCGGAGGCATGGGTCACCCTGATGTGGCCGGGGTATGGCATTGGAGGGTGCTGCTGGGGTGCAGGCCGGCCTCCTTGGGGTGAGCCCTCCTCCCCCATGGTCCCGTGCCTTGAGGTGGGCACAGAGGGAGGGCGCTGCCAGCCAGGTGCCCGCTTGCCACCCGCACAGGAATCGTTATCCACTGACGGTGCCTCTGTTTCTAACTCCTTGAATCATTCCTAGCGCCTTTCTTTTTCCCCTGCTTCCCTGGGGGATCCCGGGAATCCGGGCATCTTTGCCTGTCTGGGGGCCCCATCCAGAGACCTGAGGCATTTTTGTCTGAGCACCAGAGTGGTGGCTCTGGGCTGAGTTGTCAGAGCAGGTGGAAGAGGAGAAGCTCCTGGACATCAGGAGTTTAACGGTGGCATCTGGGGGGGACAATTCTGGAACCATGACTGTGTGTCCATTTTCTTTGGGCCACTGAGAGTGTGGGGGTCTGCCTGGCCTCCCCTAGATCAGGATCGGTCTAGGGGACAGTTCCACCTCTCCTCAGCAGACGGCTTTCCATGGATGACTCAGTTTCCCCTTCTGCCATCTGGGTGGGCACGGAACAGCCTGTCACAGGTGTTGGAGCACCTCGAATCTCCAACTGCCGCTCCCAGGAGCCAGGCGCTGGGAGACCTGTGGCTGTGCTGATTACTCCAGCCTGAAGGATGGTCAGAGAGGTGGCCGGGCAGGGAAGGATCGGGTGGGGCCTACGTGGCTCCGAGACTCGGCCCCCCAAGTTTCACCTGCTTCCTGTGACTTTAGTGCAGCCGCTGCTTGGAGGGGGCGGGCGGCGGGGGCGGGGGGCGCCGATAGAGTTCAGGATGGAGAGGAAAACCCTAAAAATAAAAACGGATATTTATAAACCTGGCGGGTTTGGGGGATAATTGACAAAGCTTAACGTTTTCAGCTGAAAGCAATTCCCACCCCCCACCCCGCTTCACAGCCCCGACTGCATTAGGTTCCATTTGTAGAGGCATCCGGAGCCAGAGGAAGGTTCTTGGGAAGTGCAGTGGCCTGGCAGTCTCCTTGTGGGCTGTGGTGTCCTCTCTGGGGGGAGGGGGAAGGGCTTGTGCTTCTGGAGAGAGGCAGGGGGCCTGGCCAGGGGCTGGGAGACACCACCCCATTTTCCTCTGCACCCAGAACAGCCTTCTGGCACACCCTCCGTGGGCAGGCGTCCCGTTTCCCAGAATTTACAAGGAGGAGGCGCCCCTGTCTTGCCCTTGCTCTGTCCTTCCCCGCTGCAAAAGATGCCCAGCGGGCAGCGGTGGTGGGGGGGGATGTGGAGAGACCCCAGCTGAGGCAGGGGCCTCACAGTGGGGACAGGCGACACGATCCAGGTGCCAAGCCAACAAAACCCCATGTGGGGCTATGGACAGAAGAAAAGTCACACCAGTGAGCTGGGGAGAACAAGCGCTTTTCAGATGGTTTTAAAAATTTGGTCTGACTTCTACCTGGAACCAGAAAGCCTCCTGGCTTGCGGCTGGAGAAGATGAAGTGCTGGACGGGGCAAGGGATGATTTCAAGTGCCTGTCACCCCATCACCAGGACAGATAGCCTGGACCCAGGCAGATCATAGCTTGAGATGTACAGAAAGTGGTGACATCTGGATCTTTGAACCCCACGGTCCAATTTGCCATCCCCTCTGGGCTTCTGGACTTTTACGGGATTTGAGTGTAGTATTCGGATTCCCCCCTGCTCCCTTCTCTCTTTTTTCTTTAAGGAAAAAAAAGGCGCACACACACACACAAAGGAAGAAAAAACAAAGAACCCCACCGTACCAATTCTGTCTTGTCTCTGGCTGATATTTCAGAAGTGTTGGGGTGGGGGGTTGTGCGTGGGGAACATGAAAAATCCAATTGGCTTACACTTCTGCAAAGGCGAAAATTAACGAGCGGGTGGGAGTGACTCACGGACAGGCCCCGACTTTCTGTGTTGCTTTATTTTTGTCTCTCTTCCCTGCTCTGGGGAACTGCCCTCCCTCTCCCCCCACCCCTCCCCTGGGTCTGGCTAGGGTAGACCTAGAAAGAAAGAAAGAAAGTGAAGTCGCTCAGTCGTGTCTGACTCTTTGCGACCCCATGGACTGTAGCTCACCAGGCTCCTCTATCCATGGAATTTTCTAGGCAAGAGTACTGGAGTGGGTTGCCATTTCCTTCTCCATAGGGTGGACCTAGGGATTGGTGCTATTCTGGGCTGGCTATGGAATCCCATTTCGGTTCCCCCGTTCCTGCGGAGACCAAAAGGATTCCATACCTGAAAACACACCCAGGTTTTCTTTTTTTTTTTCTTAGGATCCCTGCACTCTCATGTTCCCATGGATTCTCCCCTGATCCAGGGGCTTGGAACTCAGGTTTCTGGGTCACAGGACCCCGCTCCCATAAATATCCTGTTTTTGAAGAAACAGATTTTGTCCAGAGCTCCCTGGATGGTCCCTGTGGCTTTTGAGGTTTTTTCGTTTTCGATTTTTTTTTTTGGAAATCTTTACTGTTACGTTAGTCCCTTGTTGGAAGGCCAGGCCCTAACCCTCCTAGGAAAACTGAAAACTCCCGATCTTTGGTTTCCCAGTCATCCCTTTTCTCCCTCTCCCTCTCTGTGTGGCCTCGGCTCTGTTCCTTAGCCTCTCCGTGTACGAGCCTCATCTCTTGCAAAAGGAGGACATGCCTCTGGCTCAGGGGGTCCTGGGGCTTCCCTGGTGGCTTACATGGCAAAGAATCTGCCTGCAATACAGGGGACCCAGGTTTGATCCCTGAGTTGGGAAGATCCCCTGGAGCAGGGAATGGCAACCCACTCCAGCATTCTTGCCTGGAGAATTTCATGGAGAGAGGAGTCTGGTGGGCTACAGTCCGTGGAGTCGCAAAGTTGGACACGACTGAGCGACTGACACTTGCAGGGGATCCTGACTTCCAGCACCCACCCTGCTGTGCATATTTGGGCAGGTTGGTTGACTTCTCTGTGCTCCTCCGTCCCTGAGATCAGAGAGCAATTGCAGCCTGCCTTACGGCGAGCCCCGACAGGAGACGCTGTTGGTAAACAGCCTGCCTCGGCTCTTGCCATCTGCATTCATCCTATGACGGCCCCGGCCCCCGAGGGGTGTCTTGGCCTCTGTCACAGAGGGCTGGGCCCCTCAGATGGAGGCGGGCCAGGTGGAGAGAAGCCAGGAAGATGCTCTATTGCTGTGCTGTCGCGTGGGTAATTGAGTGTTGGTGAAAATTCAGGGGTTCTGGGAAAGGGAGGTCGATGCGTCTGTGTGTGTATAATTTAACGCCACTTATAATTAACCCCATGATCAGCAAATGAGGGGATGTCGGGAATAATAATAGCTGATCCGACTTATTTGGGGCTGGCGTACATTCCAGGTCCCGTGCTGAGTAAGCACCTGAGGCACGTGCTGGGAGCCCCATTTCACAGACAGGAAAACTGAGGCACACAGAGAGGTCTTCACTGGCCTCGGGTTACACAGCCCACATGTGAGAGAACCGGTAATCTTAGGCAGGACCAGCAGCTGCCAGAACCTGAAGTCTTAACTCCTGGGAAGGAGTAGGGGGGCTCTAGCTGCCCCACTGTCAGAGAAGGAGCTTTGATGACCGTTCCCCTGCAGGGTACCCTGGAGAGTCACTGTGGAGACCCTGGGGCTGCCAGCTGCCTTCCTCAGAGTGTGGACTCTGTTCTGAGGTGGCTTGAGTTCAAATTACGCCTCTGCCACTCGCTGGCTGTGTGACCTGGGGCAGTTTGCTCAGCCTGTCTGTGCTTTCTATTTCACATCTGTAAAGTGGAGTAGTGATGCTCTCCACCCTGTAGGGTTGTTGGGAGAATCAAAGGAGTCAGTGTGTGTTAAGTGATGTGTCAATATGTAGCCAGACCTGCCTGGTGAGGGCTCCCCAGCAGCATCCCCCCCACCCCTGGAACCCTCAGCCCCTCATGGGGTCCAGCATGGGAACAATGTCAGGATGACTCAGCCACTGCAAACTGGGGCGTTCCCCGTCACTGGCTGCCTAATCAAGGCTGCCCCATATCTGCAGCAGGACTGGGCCAGGCGCCTTGCAGGATCTGAGCCATGGGAGGCCAGGCGAGGCAGGCAGGGAGGGCAGGTGGTTGCCTCGGGAATCTGGGTGCTCCTGAGACCCCAGGCAGTAGCCCCCTGACTTCCAGAGTCTGTGGTGAATCTAGGTGAGTGCCTAGGGGGAGGTCCCTGAGGATTCAGGGCTGTGCAGGCTCAGCTTTGGCTTCAGCTCTGCTGGGAGGTGCTCAAGTTTATCAGCTTGGTGTGCCAGCCTTCATTCATTCATTTGCCAGTTCATTCAATCGTTCATTCATTCAGTCAGTATTTGTTGAATACTGGTGGCCAGAGAACTTGAGAGCCAGACCCTTGGTTCAAATCCTAGCTCTGCTGCTCACCAACTGTGGGATCTCAGACTATTGACATAGACCTATTGGGGAGCCTTGAACTGGGTGTGAAGCCACCATGTGCCTCAGTGTCCTCATCTGTAAAATGGGACCTTTGCTTCACTTATGAGCAAATATTGTGCCGGTAGACTGAAAGGGCTTGGTATGTTCTTTCACTTGCTTTCTTTTTGTAAATAAAAGCAAATGAAAATAGAATTCAGGAGATATAGCAGTAAACAAGGTGGGCTTGGCCCTCCATCCCTTGGACCCTGTAGTTTCTCGGGAGAGACAGTAAATAAGTACATAAATAAGCAGGAAAAAGACTGGCTGCAGTAGGGTTCTGTGGAGATTGGAAATCCAGTGGCCCCCAGCAGGTCACGTGGCCACTATTTTGTCTGGGAGTGGAGGGGGGCCTTCTGAGTTGAACAGGTATTAGGAACACCAAGTGCAAAGCTGAGAAGGCAGGCATGTGACGCTGTGTGGCGGGAGATGAGGGAAACGGAAAAGAGAGGTAGGTGACCTCGTGGTGTCCTGACCCTGAGGAGTTCGCATGGCATTTTCTACACATGCAGCTAGAGTTTGCTGAAAGCCCCCCAGAGCTTGGGTGCAAAGATCGTTGCTAGTGGAAACCTGGGAACTCTGGAAGCACCTCCAGGAACAGCTCTCAGGCTGAGGCCCAGAGAGGCAGGGCGACTTGCCCAAAGCCACACAGCCGCACCAACCTTGCTTGTGTGCCTGCTGGGCTGAGCCTCCCACTAGAAGATGGGCTGGGTCTCTTCACATTGGTCTAGAGAAGAAGACTTGGCAGAAACTTCATTGTCTTTTTTTTTTTTTTTTTGCGGCACTGCATGGCATGTGGGATCTTCCCCAACCAGGGATCAAACCCATGCCCCCTGCAGTGAAAGCTCGGAGTCTTAACCCCTGGACTACCAGGGAAGTCCAAAAATGTCATTCTTAAACCCTAGGGCCCATCACGGCTGGAGAGGTCATGCCGAGGGGGCATTGGACAGACCCCCCGCCCCCAACCCTGGTCTTCCTTGTTCTCCAAGGAAAACCAGAAATCTAGATTTTTTTTTTTTTTACATGAAATTGCCCTATTTTTCCATTCTCGATCGTTCTTTTCCTTACAACACCTCCATTTGCTGCTTGCATGGGCTCAACCCCTCGCTTGCCATCCCCAGGCCTCAGTCTCCTGGGCTGTGAAATGGGCTGAAGACTCGCAGCCACCTGCGAGGGGTTATTTGAAGGTAGAGGTGCTGTTCCTCCCAGGGAGGGCTGAAAACAGGGCCTGGGCCAGCAGGCCACGCTCAATAAACATTGGCTCTGATTATATTAATATTGGTCATAGTGATAAACTTGACTGAAATTAAATGCTGCGCTGGCTGGTCCAGCAGGGCAGTGCCGTGAATTCCTGCTGTCCGCAGGACCCGTTCCTCTCCTCTTGTCTTTTCTGGAACGTACCTATTTGTTCTCGGGGCTGGGGCACTGGGTCGCCTATGTTATCTGTGGAGTTTGCCGCAGTGGTTCTCAGCCTGGAGTGATTGTTCTCCCACCACCCCGGGGGGACACAGGGTGAAGTGTGGTGACATCTGTGGTCATCACAGCTAGGGGATGCTCCTGGCATCCAGTGGGCAGGGCAGGGATGCTGCTCTACACCCCATAGCGCCTGGGAGGCCCCCCCACCCCCACCCCCTGCAACAGAGAATGACTGGGTTCTAGATGTCAGTCATGTTGAGCTGTCAAAAACCTGCTACGAGCTCCACAGCCCAGGCGGTGAGAGAAACCAGGCAGCTGGGGTATTATGGGCTTATCTGTGAATGTCCGCCTCCCTCGCCCTGGACTGCCTTCCTGGATTCGAACGCTGAGATCCCAAACGTTCCCGCGGCCCACCTGTCCTGGCCGCCATGGCCCAGTTGATCATCGCAAGCGGGAAACTGCCCCTGATGCATGGGTTCCTGGGGTTTTCCGGAGATAGTGGTGGATCTGGGATGCCAAGGGGCTGCCATGGCCAGATCTTTCCTCTTTTCCCTACCTAGTCTTTGGAGGCCAGAGTGCTAAGTTCTAATCCTGATACAGGCCCTCTCTGGCCGTGTGAGGTCACCCCTTCTTCCTTCCCCCAGCCTCGCTTTTCTTATCCAGGAAATGGGGACATGTCCTGCCTGCTGCATCAGGAATTAAACACCATCATGTGGATATGGGGTCCGGCACCCAGGGTACACGTGTGTGTGTGTGCTTCTGTTATGTCCGACTCTTTCCAACTCCACGGACTGTGGCCCACCAGGCTCCTCTATCCATGGGATTTTTCCAGGCAAGAATACTGGAGTGGGCTGCTATTTCCTCCTCCAGGGCTTCTTCCCAACCAGAGATCAAACCTGAGTCTCTTGCGTGTCCTGCATAGGCAAGCGGATTCTTCTTTACCACTAGCGCCACCTGGGAACACAAGCAGGGACTAAATGACTGTGGCTTCACCTCCCCTCCCCACCCCCTCACCCCCACCTGTCTTCACATACCACTGGGGGAGACGTGGATGGAACCCCACATCCACAATTTTCCAAACAGTTATAACAGAGGGGAAATAAACCAGTATTACATGAGGTCCCTGGTTGTGGAGTCTACACTGCGTGTCTGACCCAGGGCTCAAGCTTCGCTGAAATTTGTCCTTTCATCCTTAGAACAGCTCCGAGAGGTGGCAGATGGGGGCAACTGAGGCACAGAGTAAGGATGAGGAACTGGCTCGCTGGAGCCTTTTTCAGGGTTGCCTGTGTGTGTTTTTGTGCTCACAGAGGGTCTGAACTTGGTTGAATGATCTGCTGTTGCTTTCTTGAAATGGTTAATAATTTTTGCGAAAGAAGGCTCTGCGGTTTCATTTCGCAGGTAGCAATCTTGTAGTGAGAAGGACAGTCGCAGATGAAGGGGTGTCATTGTCAGCCGGTCTGGGTTCAAGGTCCGTCTTTGCCTCTCAGGAGCTGTGTGGCTTCAGGCAAGTTGCTTTGCCTCTCTGGATGATGCGCCCAAACCCTTCTTGCCATCCGCTCCCCTGCCGGCTTCTCTACCCTTTCCCTCCTCCCTCATTCTGCATCGACCACGCTGACGTTTCTTCTCTTTCCACCTCCAGGCCTTTGTCCTTGCTGTTTCCTCTGCTGGGTATTCCATTTCTGGCTGGGCCAACCCTATCCGGCCAGTGTTCCCCAGTAGTCTTTTTATTGGCCTGGCCAAAAAAGGTTCATTCAGGTTTTTCTGTAATACCTTATGAAAAAAACCCAAACAAACTTTTTGGTCAATATCTCACTTTCTTAGCTGCTGTTTTACAGCCTGTCTGACCCCCTTTTCAGGATGGGAGCTCCACCAGGCTCCCTCCCCCAAGACCATCCTGCCAAGCTTTTGAAAGCTGCCCTCTTGCACTAGAACCAGCATGTCTAATTGTCCAGATTAGACGGGTCATGGCTGGGAAAACCCCACATCAGCAGCTCAAATGCCCTGGCTCAGCTCCCTCTGTCCTGGGCAGGGCTGCTAGGAGACCCACGACCCCAGTGGAGGTGCTGTGTGACTTCAGCCACTCACTTGCCCTCTCTGAATCGCCTCATGCCTGAGCTGTCTGTTGCAGAAGCTATGATGAATGACTATTGAGAGCCAGGGCCTCTGAGGACAAGTGCCATGGGGTCAGGGAACCCTGAAACAGTCCAGGAGGTTTCTTATCTCTTGAGAAGCTGAGAAACCCAGAGGAACACAGGGGATCCCCAGAGGGCATAGTAGCTGGGCCAGGAGATTTTAAGACTCTGCTAACTCTGCTGTCCACTGACACCCTGTACATTTAGCCGGAGCAAACTCCAGGAGAGGGTGAAGGACAGGGAAGCCTGTTGTGCTGCAGTTCATGGGGTTGCAAAGAGTCGGATAGGACTAAGCAACTGAACAACAACATTCAGCCAGAGAGGTAGAGAAGTCACCGAGATGCCCCTAGGAATGGGCCAAGCTTTCTATGGGGGATCACATTTGGCATTTGAAGAATCCACGTTCGAGCCTTGGCTTTCTGCAAAGCATGACTCTGGGCCCCTGGAGTCTCCTGACTGAACCTCAGTCTCCTTGTCTGTAAAAGGGGAACAAGACTGTTTTGAATGATTAGAATGGTCTGTACCGAGTCTGCTTGGAACATGCTGGCACGGTGAAGACGTAACAGGCTAAACGTCGTAAGACACAGTATGGTGATGAATGCCTTCTCTGGGCACATCAGGGGACCTACAAATGGAACTTTGGAGCGGGGGCAAAAGGTTTGGGAGTCCTGGGAGCAATTGGGCTCAAGTCTGGCTTCTCCCAGCAGGGTTGAGTCTCCTGCTGCAGTGCCGCCAGGAGCTGGGGACCAACCCCAGGCAGATAGAACCACAGACCATGCCGGTGCTGTGATCCATGGTGACAGGAGGCCCACCTCAGGACCACTGAGCCATGGTGGGGAAACCAAGTCACACTTGTGTGGCCAGAGCCCTAGGCAGGTTTTGGGAGGGGGATCAGTTCTGTGCCACAATCACCCGATGAGGTGCAGTGACCTCTCTAGATTCCCCATCCAGAGCTCTTCTGAGACACTACCCAGACATGTGCCTTTTGCCCCCACCTCCCTGGTCTAACACACACAGTGTGTGTGTTAGTTGCCCAGTCATGTCCGGCTCTTTATGAGCCATGGACTGTAACCTGCCAGGCTCCTCTGTCCATGGGATTTCCCAGGCAAGAATACTGGAGTGGGTTGCCATTTCCTTTTGCAGGGGATCTTCCCAACCCAGGCATCGAACCCGGGTCACCTGCATTGCAGACAGATTCTTTACCATCTGAGCCACCTGGGAAGCCCCATCAGGGAAGACTTGGTAGTTTTCTTAAAAACCCATTCTCTCTGAAAACTTAAAAAAACAAAACTTGATTTATTTAGCTTCACCAGGTCTTGGTTATGGCATGTGGGATCTTTGTTAAAGCATGTAGAATCTAGTTCCCTGACTGGGGATCGAACCCGGCTTACCCCCTGCATTGGGAGCATGGAGTCCCACCCATTGGACCACCGGGGAAGTCCCTCTTTGAAAACTTAGAGGGGAAAAATTTTACTCTCATCATTGGGCAACCTGGTATGTCCTTGACATAAGAAGGCAGAACCTTTAAAATAAATGTAATGAGAGCAAAAAAAAGAGGGAGAGAAAGAAAATGACATTAAATCATCCTGCTGCCGCCACAGGCTTAGAGCAGAGGCCAAGGGCTACTGAGGCGTTAAAGCCCAGTTAGCACCCACCGGAGACTTCCAGCCTTGAGGATGCTGGAAAAAGCCCGGGAGGGGAAGGGTCCCCTTACTGGTGGATTCCATGTTGCTGCACACAGCTATGACTGTCTGGGGGGTCTCTACCTTCACACCAGGGTCCTGGGACTCTCTTCTGTGTATCTGAGTGTTCCTTCTCAACAGCCTCGGGAGAAGGTTATTTCTCCCTGAATTCAATTAATGAGCCTATTAAAAACTATTTATTTTCCCTGACAGTTGTTTACTGAGGAGAAGGAGATAAATTGGCTGGGCAGCCTCACCAGGCAGGCACGAAGTGGGATGGGAAATGCCTGGCGCCTTGGGCCCGGGTGCTTAGTGAGGGTGGACCACAGGTGGAGCCCTGCCTTCCGGACGGCCCCTGAAACACAGAGCCTGAACTTGAGCTGCAGCCGCAGTTTGCAACCTTGGGGTCTTTGGGGAAGCAGAGCCTGGGATGAGTGAAAAGCATGCTGGAGTGGAGGGTTTCATGTTTGTGGTGGGGGAGAGTCTCTCAAAACCCCTTCTTTCTCCTCCACAGCAGTTGGACCCTTTGACTTTTGGGGGTACATAGCTACCTAGTGAAAAAAAAAAAACCCCAAACGTTTCTGAGTATACCTTGCAGCTGTCTGTGCTACATGATTCAGTTCTGACCAGTGGGATAAATGAACAGAATTTCCTGGAAATGCCTTCAAAGGGAGGTAGCACATGCTTCTTTCTACCCTACTCCCCTCCCCAACTGGAATATGGAAGTGATGGTAGGCAATGAGGCAGCCGTTTTGAACTGTGAGGCAGGTTCATGGCTAAGAATGGGAGATGAAAGATGGAAGGAGCCTGGACCCTGATGATTAGAGGTGGGCAAAATAGCCCTGAGAGGCCCACCTGGGAGCTTCCTTTATGTGAAGAGAGAAATTATGCCTCTCCAGTGAGTTTTGTTTTGTTTTTGTTTTTTGGACATCTACAGCCCAATTTGATCCTAATAAACATCAGTAGGTGAGCCTTGGGACGAAGCACTTTTCTTCTTTCTCTCCTTAGGTCTCTGCTCATTTTTAAGTGAGGCCTCCTCCCCATCTCTATTGAGGTTTGCAAAGTTATTATTTGTGAAATAACTTGTAAGGTTGTTAATTGCAAAATTTGCCTCTCCACCTGGCTCCCCATCTTTCCTGCTCTGGCTCTGCTTTTACTAGAAGCACTGTTGCCATCTCTACTTCACTCTCCTCTTACTTACCATCTACCCTCTTTCTTCCTGTCTTCTCCACTGTGTCCACAGCAGCACCTGCGCACAGTAGGGCCCCCTGAGAGTGTTGCATACACAGGTCTCCATTCACAAGGCACGAATGGGGCTCTGAGACGCCTCAGGTCTTCAGCTGGCTGGAGGCAGTGCCTGCATTGGTAGCAACTGAGCAGGTGGCTCCCGAGTCCTTCCTTTCCACTGGTTTGTGGCCCGCCCCACAGTTGGCCAGTTCAGGCCGTTCAGCGGCTGCTCCTGATCCTTCCTCTCGCCCCCGCGTTCTCACCTCGGCCTCCAGAAATAGCCCCTTTAAAATAGCCGCGTCCTTGCGTTCTGGGTTTCTGCATGCCCACGGATGTGACGCCGTGCTGACGGGCCAACCTCCTTATTGCTGTGGGATTTTTAAAAATACAGTTGGTGTTAGGTA